TTGAAAGCTGGAAGAGCGTCCAGATGACACTTAGCATAATGTAGTTTAAGAGTGCAATAAGAAGCCACCCTTTTTCCTAACGTATATGACTGGGCATCCAGAGTAATTTTCACATTTCCCATGTTTTATGTACTTGGAAGGCATTAAGAGGGCACTTTTTGGATACTCTATTGAATGAAGGGGCATGTTGAGAACACTTTTTTCCCACATTTTACATGCTGAAAGTTCATCCAAATAAGACTACCTAGGGTTAAATTTGCTTAAGGTACAGTCAGAAAGCTTTTTTTTTTTTTTTTCCACAATTTATTTCCTGAAAGGACATGTTTTAATTGCTCTGAATGCATCCAGGGAGGCACTTTCTTATGCTAAAGGCTAAAAATGGCAGGTATTAAATCATATATTTTTGACCCAGACCCCGAGTCCAAAGAGGAGGTGGAAGTTGAAGAAGCCAGAGAGCGAAAGAACTAATTTCGGTCCTCCAGCTGTGTTTTCTCATTCATTCTGCCCAGCTTTAAGTTCATTTTCCTGGCAGTGAACCCAAGGAAACACCGGTCGTTTGAAAGAGACCCATAGCGGATACAGTGGTAGCTGGGTCTCTTCCAAACAACCAGTGTTTCCTCTGGCTGGAGAGTGATGATGACTGTGACTGAGTACGAGAATGAGAGAGTGGGCGCGGCTCACCGAGGGCGCGCTTGTGAATAATAATGAGCAAGGTCAGCTTGATGTCAGAATGACCTGCTTTTTCAACTGGCCTGGTTTTCCTGTTTCTTTATTTTAAATTTTTACAGAATGCAAACGACATAACGGTTTATTTTCACATTTACAACATAAGACGAACATAATATGGACTTGATCTGACACACAAAAATGCAAAAAATACATTTTTGGTGGCATGTCCCCTTTAAATCATAATCCATATTAACCCAACCTTCGCATTTGATCTCACTTTCATTAATGCTGTTCTTTTTCTTTTTTTATGGCTGCGTTATGATCAAGAATGAGATAAGAAGCATTAAAATTATGTTCAAAACTCAATTCCAATGAAGTTGGGAGGGAGAATGTGTAAATCATAAATAAAAATGGAATACAATGATTTGCAAATCCTTTTCAACCCATATTCAATTGAATACACTACTGGCAGTGTTGGGTTACTGTTCAGTCCATATAACAGTGTGAGTTTGCTTGTTCATACTGCAAAGATATTTGGTGAATATATATATATATATATATATATATATATATATATATATATATATACATATACATATATCTATATATATATTTATATATATATATATATATATGCAGAATGTGGCTTGGCATTGTCTTGCTGAAATAAGCAGGGGCGTCCATGAAAATGACATTGCTTGGATGGCAGCATATGCTACTCCAAAACCTGTATGTATCTTTCAACATTAAAATATTATTCAACATTAATGTATGTATTGTGATGAGAAATGGTCTACTGGAACAACACAGTGAAGGCAATGGACACGAGATGAGAATAAGGCCTTGTTGGAATGCTTCTACTCCAGGAACCCAAGCCAGCGGGGTTACCTGAACAAGCTGCAGGATAAATGGTGGCTTCGATACCCAAGCGGCAGCTGCTATCACGACCAGAGATTGAGGAAATAAAGCGTCTTAATGCTACGGCAAGGGGGAGCCAGGACATTTAGATCCCCAAGATCTCCCCCTTCGGCTGCTGCCCAACTCACATTGCACCTGACCCCTTTGACCCCTCCTATGGGTGGTGAGCCCATGGAAAGGGGGTCCCACGTTGCCTCTTTAGGCTGTGCCCGGCCAGGCCCCGTGGGCGCAGGCCGGGCCACCAGGCGCTTGCCATCGAGCCCCACCCCCAGGCCTGGGGGCCCAGTGACCCACATCCTGGCGAGGGAAACTGGATATCAAATATTTCACTCATTATTAAAGGTCTGTTTGAGCTACCCTTAGTCTGATCCCTCTCCCAGGACTTGTTTGCCTAGGATAACCCTACTAGAGGCATAACAAATTAGCTCCTGGGATCATTGGGACACGCAAACCCCTCCACCTCAGGATGGTAGTAGCTCGAGGAGGGGAACATTTTATGTTATGTTTTTCTTTTTTTTTGTAGAAGTTTTTTTTGTGTTTGTATTTTGTGGGATTTTTTTTTATGTGGGAGGTTTTTTGTGTTTTTTTTTTTCCAATGAATGCATGTCATGTGTCTTCAAGAGGTCTATGGGCTCTATTTTCGTGTACGCGCGTGAGGCGGCGGAGGGCGGCGAGCCCCGCCCAGTTGCATTTTCGTCTGGCGCAGCCCGGCGTACAGCCAGTTTGGTATTTTCATGGACTGAGGCGCACGGCGAGCCAAGATGCGCCAAGCTGGGCGTGGTGGTGTGGCAGGGGGAGGTGTCGACAGAATCAGCGGGCGCAGTGACATTTTCGTGCTCGCCACCGGCGTGTAAAGTGCACTGAAAGCTTGCTGATTCAAACCTGGTCAGCTTTCAGCGCAGGCGGAACGCAGCTGGTCTAGTAGTATTTTGGTAGACCGACGGCATATTGGCATACGTCACCGATGCCTCACTGGCAGGTTTCCACAGTGTCAGGCACATTTCAGTGCAATAAATAATCATCAACAACTAATAATCTGAGTTAGCACATACATTTAGATCTATATCGATATATTCTGATCTATATCTGATCTGATGAGCGCGTTGGCACTAGGGGTGTGAATCTCAGCACTGAGGACGATTCGATACGCATCTCGATGCACTGCCAGCGATACAATACTTTAACGATACATGGAATTTTCTGGCGATACGATGCAATACGATTCACCCTCTTCATGATGCGATATGATACGATAATCATTTAGTTCAAATCAATGCGATCCGATACGATATGATGCAATTTGTTGCGATATGATGCAATTCAACATGACGCAAATAAGCAAAGAAAAAAAAGAAATAAAAATAAAAGATGGAATTCAGTATGGTACTACAAAAATGATTTGGCTTTATTCCTTAAAGGCACTTGGCAGTAAATTCAACAAAAGTGCTTTTTATCTTTTCTCTATGCTCCTTTGGGTTCCATTTTGTACAGTTACACAGATTAGACAGACCTCCTGCAACTGTTAAGGAATCTGAATCAATAAAATTTAAAAAAAAAAAAAAAAAAAAAAAAAAAAAGGATTCCAATCCCAACCCTACATCACACAAGTGCTCTATACTTGTTGGGTAATATTACAGTACACATTATTAAACAACTAATGCACTGCCTAATATGGTGCAAATAAACCATTCAATGGCCATACTACTGTCTGTCAAACCAATGTGCTAGAGTTGACTTTCTAACTGGCCACTGAAAATCAGTGATTTGAGTGAGTTCTGCAATTATAAAAGAGTAAAACAATTACACAATAACTACTGCTGTAAAAAGTACAGTAAACAGCAACAACAAAACACTCAATGAGTAACCTAAAGTGACACTTTCAACAGTGCAATCAATGTTAAGGGAGGGGAGGTGGCGTTAGACTTGTCGGTGATGTGGTGTACTCTTTTAAAGTGGGTCTGCATGTTTGTCGTGCTGCCGTTGTACGGCTTCTTAACGCGGCATTCTTTGCAAATGACGGACGTTTTGTCGAGTTTTCCGTCTTTCTTTGCAAATCCGTAGTGTTTCCAAGCATACAATTTAAACGTAGCGGGTGCATTACATATAAACTCTTCCTCGCTGCTGCTCACTTGAATGTGGTCCATGCTGTTTTACTAGTAGTGCATTGTATGTCCCTCACGGCTTCCGTCCGTATTCAATACAAAACGCGAAATAATGATGGTGCATTCAATGCGCCAGGGGAACAGCAGATGGGGTGAAGTTTAACATGAATAAAACGGCGCTTGCATCGGATTTTACCGATACCCACCAACGCATCTAGATGAATCTAGATTTAACCCGTCAATTGCATCGATACCCAGTGAATGAGCCGACGCAGTCGCATCGCGCACATGCGCATCGATGCATCGATTAATTTAGATTATTTTCCACACCCTTAGTTGGCACGCGTTTGGACACACAACCTGACCGAATCAACACAGCTGAAACCGCATTAAATTAAATTAAATATCTAGTAAATAGACACACATGATGAAGTTAACAACATATGTAATTCGTCTCCCTCCTTTTCTTTCCTCCTCTTCCTCTTATTTCTCGCACAGCTCGACCTGGACACGTCTCCGTGTCCTCTCTCTGTCCTGCTTCAGCAGCGGCTGAACAGATGATTTGTTTCAGCGCTCAGATGCGTTATCTACTTTAAGCCGACATACGGATATTATAATATTACGTTTTGTGAGCCAAATTTATTTTATATGCCAACATCTATGAAAGAAAGAGCCAGGCCACAGAGCGCGATGCGTCATTTACGCACAGATGGTTCCGATTTTAATGCCATTATTGGAGTTTATGTTGTGATCCGTGCGCTCAACCCACCTTTGTCACGTTAGGTTTGAATATGAGCAACTTTATGTGAGTGTCTTTATTTGTGGAAAAGGGTGTTTGTCTTACCAGTGGGTCCAACATTATACACACCAAATCCATCTGTGCTCATATGAGAGAGTGTGGAGGACGCCCAATGCAGCGCTTACAGTGACACTTGTTGAGGAGCTGCCCTTTGTCGCCATCGTGTGGCATAACTGTCTTCAGACATCTCTTGATCTCCTTGACTACTTCATGAAAATAGTAATACGCCTCGCCGGTGGCGGATTTAAAGGCAAGGAGAGGAGCTTATGTGATTGGTGAAAACAGGTCTCGGCTGTGTTAAACTCACTTTCCGCCCTCTCTCCTCCCTCGCTACAACTTACGCCGCTGGGAGGAGCTGAGTTAGGGAGGGGGGATACTTACGCCGGGCTGGGCGGCTCACCAAAATACCAAATTGTGCTTGGGAATGCCTTGTCGGCGCGGCGGACCTCACTTACGCCGCACATGCGTCTCGTCGCCGGCGAGGCATGAAAATAGAGCCCTATGTGTCTCTTTTAAAGAGCCCCAGGAACCTTTTTCTCAAAGACCTCAAGGGCCTCCTTTAACTTGCTATTTTCCCCCTTGAGGAAGAGGACACATGCTCTCTCTTGCTCCAACTGTTTGTTTTTCTTCTTCAGGTCTTTCTGGGCCTGGTTGAGGGAAGCTCTCAGCTTGCTGGACCCATCTTTTCCTGAGAGCACATCCACCTGCTGGTTCTGCTTCTTCAGATCCTCCTCAGCCTTCTCAAGAGCAGCCTTCAATCTGCAGGTTTCCTCTTTGTCAGACAGAAGCCAGGATCTCTCCTCCTCCCACTGGCAGGTCTTGGTCTGCAGGTCTTCTTGAGTCTTTTTCAGCTCAGCCTTGACAGTGGACAGCTCTTCTTTCATCTCATCCAGGAGAGAAGTCTTGTCCTCCTCCCTCTCAGGGTTCTCGGTGGCAGTTTCTTCTTGGACCTGGTTTGGCTCTGTGATGTGACAGTTGTCTTTTGTCACCTTGGCCTGCTGCTCAGCCCACAGAAGCCTCTGGTTCTCCTGTGTCACTTGTGCATGGTGAAGTGCAGCACAGAGATGCATGATGTCCCCCAGGAGCTGGGATCTGTCTTGCCACCATTGGTTCTTCACCTCATTGACAGCCTTGTCCATATCAGCCCACAGCAGGGAGTGCAAGGTTTCTTGCAATGAAGTACACTAGCTCTTAATGTGAATAACACTTTAGAAGCACAAGCCCTGTTCAGTGGTCTCACACTGTCTGTCCATCAACATGGAGTGAAAGGCCTCAAGTGAAATGAGCTGTAGGAGTTTGAGCTCAGTTTGCGAGGAGTTCCACGTGCTGTGGAGGCAGCAAAACTGAATGCTCTCTTCCCCAGTTGTATTGTATTGTATTTGTATTGTATTTGTTTATTTAGCACAGATTAAAAACAGTGCAGGGAGGGAACGAAGCAGATAGGCTTATACAAAGTTCCACTCCCGTCAGGACAGAGAAAACATAAGGTGCAGACAACTAAGTACATAGACAGGTTACACATGTACAATGATTAGGGAAAGGTCAAACAGATACAAGTTGCCATAAATGGAACACAGACAAATCAGCAAACAGTGATAAAGACAATAAATTATTAATAAAAAGGAAAGAAACATGATCATAACAAATAGTGATGGATTTAAGACATAATTAGTTGAGATTTTAATGATATTTTAAAGGAGTTAAAGGATGATATTGATTTCAGAGATGAATCAAGATTATTCCATAGTTTTGGACCTCTAAAAGTGATGCTAGACTGATGACTAGAAGTTCTACATGAAGGTAACTGAAGATGGCCAGTTCTGACAAGACGGACATAGAGGTGGAGAATGTCACAGGAGTGTAGGACATAGCGGCACTTAGTTCTCTGAAGAAAAGTACATAAATAAGATGGATCTAAGTTGAGAAGAGCCTTGTAAATCACGGTCAGCCAGTGTGTACTCCTTTGTGCACTTAAAGAAGGCCAGCCAGTGTTAACATACAGATACCATGATACGTGAGATGAATATCACCAGTGATAAACCTTAGAGTGCTGTGACAAACAGTATTTAAAAACTGGAGACATTTCAACAAAGCACCCATATGCAGCACATCTCCATAGTCGATTAGAGAGAGAATTGTTGCTGATACAAGTGGTTTCCTGGCTCTAAGTGAGAAGCAAGATCTATTTCAATGGTAAAACCCGAGCTTCACCCTGAGTTTGGTGACCAGGCCTGCAATAGTTAATTTATTTGTGCTTGTGTAGCACTTGACATTTAATCTACTGACCTCTATTAGTGTTTCTATGTTATATTCACCCATTCACACTATGGTCATTTGTAATTTTGTATATTTTAGCTGTGAGCTAAATGAACACAGTCAATTTAACTTCTCCTAATTTCTCTCTGAAAGTTTAAAATCTCAGAGACACTGTCATTTTGTAGAGCCTCACCCCCTGTGTGCTTCTGTGATCACCCTGTGTGTGTGCAGTGTTTGTTAAGTGTGGTTAAGATAGGATGAAAGCAACGGAACTGTGTGTGTGTGTGTGTGTGTGTGTGTGTGTGTGTGTGTGTGTGTGTGTGTGTGTGTGTGTGTGTTTGTGTGTGTGAGGGAGCAGCAAGTTGGTGTTGATTCAATAAGAAAGCTATTTTTTCTCCTTCTGCATCTGAGCTGGAAACAATCAGTCTTCAGGGTGATGTTCCCTCTTACCCCTATTGATTTTAGCTCTGTGTGTGTAACTGTGTGTGTGTGTGTGTGTGTGTGGATCCACCAAATAATCCTCATCCATCCCCCCGTTCCTCCCTCTCTGCTCCATCTGAGTTAACCTACACAGCTGAGGAGGAGGAAATCAATGGCTATCCTAACCCCTGCACACACAGTTACACACTTACTCACACACACTTACACACAAAAACACACTCACACACAGTCTTAAACTCTGAGAAAGGGGTGCTGATCACAGCAGAGGATGTTAACAGTCTGATTTTAATGATTTATGGCTGATAGACTCGTGTTTTCAGACATCTTCGTGCTCGCTAGCATCCAAACATTTGCTTTTTGGAAGTGTGTGTGTGTGTGTGTGTGTGTGTGTGTGTGTGAGTGTGAGTGTGAGTGTGGGTACGATTACGTCAAGTATTTACAGCCCTTTTTGTTAGAAATAGTTCATACTTTTTCTCTTTTCACAGTCTCAGTCATTACTTTTGCGTAAACGCTGAGGAAAGTATTCAGAATTCAAGATTTAATCGGCCAGGACCAAACTCGGGTTTCAGACTCCATGAGTGATGGCTGCAGGAGCTTTACACTCTAAAAACCCCGCTCAGCACCAAGGTTAAAAAGGGACCAAACACTGATTGGGTTATTTTGACCCAGAATGTTGGGTTATTCAAATTAACTCAAATTTTGGTTTGACTCAAAAACTCTTTGTAAGGGTCAAGGTAACCCAATCTTCAGCTAATCAGCTATCCTAGCCAATCAGAGGTGAAGGAGGCGGGACTTTCCCCAGGAAAAGTCTTCCCCGGGATGTGTCTTTTTCCCCCCTGAAAGTCGCAAAATCGCATCGGGTTTGATGTGTATTGTCAGGCGCGGCAAAATTCGCGTCAGAATATTTTGTAATTTTGCGTTCTATATTTGCGTCGGCCCCGGTGTGCAAGGACCTTAACAGTGGCGAGGAAAAACTTTCTTTTAACAGGCAGAAACAAAGGGCAGGACCAGACTCATGCCAGACAGCCACCAAGCTGCTGCTGGGTTGGGGAGGAACACAGAGAGGTAGGGGGAGAGAGAGAGAGGGCAGGGGGAGAGAAAGAATAAGATAGAGGGAAGGAGAGAGGGAATGAGTAAGGGAGAGGGAGGGAGAGAGAGTAGAGAACGAGGGTGAGAGAGAGAGAGAGAGAGAGACGGGACAGCAGTAACATTAAAACAACAGCAACAACAACAACAGCTCATGTAATGTTAAATAAAATGGATTCAGTTTACAGGTTTAGGATATGAGCAATTATGGACTATGTTAGATTAATTTAATGTGATTACAGTCAGCAGGCCTAATAGTAGTTAACTTGAGTTTTATGTTATTAATGTCAGTGAGGCTGATGTTCATGTCTGCAGCAACAGTCCAGAGGAACCCAAGAGGAGGAGGAGCTCAGGGCCTGAGGCGGACAATCGAAAACGATGTGGCTGGAGTCAGGCAGGTCCGCAGCAGCCAACCGTCTGTAGCACCAGTCCAGAGCAACCCAGGAGAGTGGGAGCTCAGAGAATATATAATATATATATATGTATATATCATATTGTATATAAAATCAAGGTCAAAGTTCACAAGGTCACTTTAATTGCCATTAGGCCTAGAAACCATGTAGAGTCAATCAAACCCAACGTTCTGACCCAATTATTGGTTTACTCTCAGCAAAATAACCCATAATTATTAACCCATTCAAAAAACCCTCAAATTGGGTTACAACAGAATCCATATGACCCAAGAAATGAGTATGGATCTGAAAAACCCAGAACCCAGAAATTTTACTGAACACTTATAACCCAGGCTTTGGGTTAAAGATATAACCCAAGAGTTTTTAGAGTGTGGGGTTTAGAGTTTGTAAAGCCGGGTTCATTTACTTTTACTGCCTTACCCCAATTTCCACCGCATCCAGAACGGCTACCAAAAGGTCATATCCTCCGATCGTAGCTGATCGTAACCATTCGAGTTAATGTTTCAATTTCCACTGGCTTATTTCCACTCATCTGTGAATCGCCGGACTCCACAGCTGATCGCAAGTGTTCTATTTTTTTAGACGTCATTTCACCCTAATGACACCATGGATGAGGAGATGCTCATTCTAGAAGTCTAGAAGTAGATTTCCTCCCCTGGAAGGACACAATCTACTGCTTATATGTCTATGTGTCTGTCTTTATAGAGACAACTTGTTATAGCGTGATTGAACGTGAATCCGTGGGTTCTTGCGACTATCGCTGTCCGTAATCCTCCATGAAATTCACCTCACCAACGGATCCAAGAATTGGTGGACGTTCTGGATGTGATGAAAATCGGGGGTTGGACCTGGTTTTTGTTCCTCCTTCAGACCCTCCTCATAGCCGACATGCACCTCCTCCAAAATATGAATCAAAACAACACTAATCGAAGCCCTGTGATTGGACAGATCCTCAGCGGCTTTCTCTTTAAACACTCCCTCTTTTCTTTAATACAATAATTAAATCATGACCGACATCAGCACATAAATTAGCTCTTTATTTAATATAATGCTCTCATATCCACAAACACAACAGTAGATTTAATTACTGAAATATAATATAAAGGAAAAATAGGAGGAATAAACAAAATCTAATGTTCAATTATTTTATCACTCATTTAGAAAATCATTCAGACAGAAATTCATCAGGATTTGATTATGACGTCAACATCAGTTCATCTTTAATTCATAAAATATTTGTTCCCTTATAAATAAATGTGATTAAATTTCCTCTTTTATTTTTGACATTTGGAAAATCTGATTATTTTCATTTTTCCATCCTGGTCCAGAAACTGTGACCAGGATGGAAGTTTATTACAACTCTACTTAGTTTTATAATATGTGTGTGTGTGTGTGTGTGTGTGTGTGTGTGTGTGTGTGTGTGTGTGTGTGTGTGTACGTGTGTGTGTGTGTGTGTGTGTGTGTGTGTGTGTGTGTGTGTCCCCTTCAGCTCCAATAGCAGCACAGTCCTCATTATGGTCAACAAGTGAGATATGCAGAGAAAGAGAGAGAGCTGATCCTCGCAGTTTTAATCAGCACAATCAATCTTCACCCCTGTCCCCGCTCTGCACACTCACTCTCACAAACTCTCACTCTCTCTCTCTTCCTCTCTCTCTATCTCTCTCTCTCACATGCTCTGTGTCTCTGCTGCAGGAACATTTATTTGCGGGTACTTGACTCCCTCCTCCAGATGAGCTGGGCTACAAGCGGGCTAATAAAGCGGCTAATTGTCTGCTTGTTGGCTGGGATTGATTTGTCTGTTTCAACACTGATAACACAAGCAATCATCTTTCTCTGTGAAGGCTGCACACACACACATACACACTGTAGCTGCTGACATTTGACAGCCACGGCAGAGTGTGTGTTTGTGTGTGTGTGAAAGGATGAGCAGACTTCCTCAACAA